GGGTGGTGAGTGGCTCGGGCTAAGGAAATGGGAGAGACCTGGCCAGACTCCCACTCTCCTCCTCCCGCAGCCCCACCTCCCCGGTCCCGCTTAACTCCCCGCCAGGCCAGCCGTGGGGCCACCATTCCTGTCCCCATCCCTGTCCCCACGATGCTCCGGCTGCTGCTGCTCTGCGGGGCCCTGGGCTGCGGGGCAGACCGGGCGGGTAAGGCAAGGACACGGTGGCAGCGGGGTAGGCAAGACTTGGGGTTGGTATGGGGGGGATATGGCTTATGGGAAAGGGACGGGGCAGTGGGTGATGTCTGGTGTCTCTTGCAGCCCCGCTCGCCTTCACCATGCTGCAACGGACCCGCGTCTCCAAGGGCAGCTCCGTCTTCTGGGGGAACGCCAGCCTGGATGGGCAGCTGAGCCACCTCCTGGAGGGGCTTAATGCTGCCGCTGGAGCCCCCAGACACCTGGGCCAGGCGGCAGCAGGACGTGACCACCTACCTGCTCTACTTCGGCCAGCTGGTGAAGCTTTTCAGCAAGGAAAGGCCCATCAACTGTGAGTGGTACCCCAGGGGGGCACGGGGACGGAGATGCATAGCCCACTGGGGGACAGGACCCACTGGGGAAGGGGAGCCCACCCTGCACTGCCTGGGCACAGGGATGGCTCTCCAGGGACAGCTGGGCAAAGGGATGGGGACAAGGCCATGTGCAAAACCTCACTCTGGGCAAAAGGAGCCCTTCTGCGGAGCCAGGAATTTCTTACTCGGAGCCCACCCCAGGAACAGGGTGATGCTCAGCCTCCTGCTGCCCCTCGGGGAGTAGGCCTGAGGGCTGCAGCCTGGGGGGGTGGTGAGGTGTAGGCACCCTTCCTGCACCCTGCCTGCACCCCACTTACACCCCACCTGTAGCCTGCCTTTATCCTGCCTGCACCCTGCCTGCGCTTGTCTGCACCCTGCCTGCACCCCACTTGCACCCCACCTGCATCCTGCCTGCAACCTGCCTTCAACCTGCTTGCACCCTGCCTGCATCCACCTTGCACCCTGCCTGCACCCCGCAGCCTTCATGGGACGTGTGGGATGCTGATGGTGATGGTTTCATGTTCCTGCCTGCATTGCTCTGCAAGCCCACGTTACCTCCAGTGTTCCTGTGCAGGGTGTGTTTTACCTTCATTTTCTTTGTTATACCCAAACCAATTTTGCCCCAGCTCTGCATTTCTTTACCTGGCCCTTGGGGAGCACTTTCTCACCTAGGGGTCTCTGGCGTGAGCCCCACGCCTCCCCTCGGCCCATGCTCCCTGTGCCACATCCTTCTGTGAGAGTGATGAATAGCTTGCTCTGCACCAAAAAACCTGCCGTCTCTATAAAACTGAAGCTGTGCTGTACACAGATAAGGAAGGAAAAAATAAGCACGGCTGCTCGGCCATTGGAAAAGTCGCCGCTGCAGCTAAACTCAGTGAAAACAAAGCTGTGGGTGGGTCGGGCGGCGCAAGGCTGAGCCCTTGCAAACTCAATGCACGCCTTGATGCTGGTGACGGCAATGGGCTGCCAAGGGTGGGAATGTGCTGGCCCTGACCCCCTCCCTCTGTCCCCGCAGACACCCAGAGCCTGTGCTGCCGCCTGGGCTGCCGCCTCTTCCCTAATGGCACGGCCCACAGCTTCTATGAGGTGACTCTCAACGGGACGGCTTTCCTCAGCTTCCATGTCCCTAATGCCACCTGGGAGCGGCGCTGGCCTGGCAGGGATGCGGTGGCTGCCTTTGCCGAGAGGGAGCTGATGAAGTACCCCAAGACCACCCGGGACCTCCAGCATTTCCTCAACACCACCTGCGTTGGCATCCTGCGGGCTCAGAGCGCCTGGACAGGTCTGTGCTGGGGCTGGGGGGACACACATGGTGGCGTGGTGGGGGTGACCCCCGTCATCACCTCCATCCCTCTCGTCTCTTGCAGGAAAACAGAGCAGCCGGTCACACGCCCCACTGGTGCTGGGCCTGATCCTGGGGACCTTCGCCTTGCTGGGCATGGCCACGGGGATCTTCTTGTGCACGGGAGGGAGCTGCTAGCGGAGCCGGCAGCTGTTCCACATCACCCCGTGGAGGCAGGGACCGAGCCTGTGCCCTGCAAGGGATGTATCTCCCCAGCGCTGCAGGTTTTGCTTCCAAAGGACACCAGTGGCTTCCCTGCCCGGTTCAATGACTCCCCAGGCAGCAGCACCCTGCCCCGGGAATGGTCCCCACGCTGGGCTGGCACGGTGCACTGAGACTTAACACAGAAATACGCTTGGCATGGATGGAAAAAATAGGGAAAGGGTGGGGGGGAAGTGGCAGGAGAAACAGCCAAGAAAGGGTTAAAACGATGGCATTGAAACCCTCATTTATCCCTGTTCCAGTGGGGATAAATGCCTGGGATGGAGGATGTCACACCTTTGTGGCACTGCTTCGAGACGTCCTGTAATAAAACTGCCCATCAGCTCTCACATCGTTTTTGGTTGCTCTCATTTCCCCCTAGCAGCACCAACATGGGGCTGCAGATCCATCACGGGGGGCAGGCACAGGGGGGCCCACGGTTGCTAGTGCTGGGTGGGCTCGTTGGCGTTGCCAATCCCTGCGTCGGACCCCAGGCCGTGCACTGAGTTTGCAAGGCCTCTGGAGAGAGGCTGGTGGGGTTTGCACCTCCTGAGCTCATTTCAATCTGCCTGCAGCTTTGGTTTGACTCAATTAAGTGGCGACGCTTTATTTATTTTTCATTTCCTCATCTTTGTATGAGACACCGAGGTTGAGTACAGCCAGCTGTAACGGGGCAGTTTTCTCAGCAGATTAATGCATTCACCACTCTCCCCTAAGAATGCCGCCCAGAGGGATATGGGAGCGTGGGGATGCCGGGCGAGAGGCAGGGCAGGCGTGAGGCAATGTGCTGGGGACCCCAAGGCGAGAAACCGCTCCCCAAGGACCAGCTAAAGAAATGCAGAGCTTTATTACTAGTACTGTACAACAGCATTCATTGCTTTATTTTCCTTTTCTGCAATCTCGATCTGAGCTAAAAACTACTCTTTGACTGTTTAGACTCCAGTTATATTAATAATAAATTCTTGGCTGCGTTTCCCTTTTGCTCATAGCAAGATTTTGAGCACGACACCCCTCTCGTGCTCGTCTCTGCTGCATCGAGGGCAGGAAGGGCTGGGGATGAGCCAGGAGCTGGCTCGGGCCACGGAAAAAGGGGACAGCACAGGAGCAAGGAGCTTTCCTGGGTTAACTTCCAGCTCATTCCTTTCTAAATACCCTTCCCTGCGGCTCAAAGCAAGAAAGAAAGGGTGGGCAGCGGGAAAGACGGGAAGAGAGATGCAGGACAGAAAGAGGATGGGAAGATGACATAGTGGTTGTCCTTAAGGAGGGATGGAGAAGGAGGTCTCCAAAGACCACATCTCATCACTCTGGCCGCCGGCCAGCCCTCGAGCAGCCCCCGCCTCCACTAGGCTCCTGGGGCAGGGGGCCAGGGCCCTCCCCACCCTTCAGCGGGCTCCTTTGCAAAAGGGAAATGGCAGCCAAGAGGCTGGAGGTTCCAAAACAACGAGGCTGAGGCACATGAACATCATTGCTCGGCCTCTAAAGAAGAGCCCTTGGTGGCAGCTCTGCTGTGGGCCAAGCACTGCGCGTCCTCG